GGAGCACCAGAGACACCTGCGAGTAGGGTGGGCGTGGGGCCGGGGCAGCTGCCGGTCTAACGGCTCCCCGTGCAGACTGTCAGCTGCTCAGCCCAGCCCCTCTCCTGTCCAGGCAGCTGGGCACGTGGCCTTTGCTTCTCCATCTCCAGTGGAGCCCAGGGATCTCCAGAGACACTGGCACAGCTGAGGACAGACACGAGGCATAACAGAAAACAGAAACTGAGAAAAAGTCTGACCAGTGAGGCTGTTAGCCCCTCCGTCCAAGGGCCCCAGGACAAACGCAGCTGGGCCCCTGCCTCTGTGCAGGAGAAGGAGGAATTTTTCTCTCAGGATCATGACTGGCCCAAGAGGACAAGATTTCCTGACACTGGCATTTAAAGACCCCCCCCCCGAAAGCAGGCTCACCATCCATTGCCTTGGGAAGTCCGCCAGGGGACGGACCCTGCCACATACTTGCTTCCAATAAGCTTTTTAGGGTCTTACTCACATGTGTGTGGATACTCGCTGACATAAAACAGGAGGGCAGGGGACAGAACGAGGAGGTCAGAAGAAACACACAATGCGGAGGTCAAAGGAGGCTGTCAGGAGAACTGCCATTAGCAACTCAGAAAGATGAGAGTGCACTCAGGAAACAACAAGGTGTCAGAAAGCATGAACATTCTGAACCAGGAACACGTTCTTAGAACTTACAAACACATGGCAGGAACAAAAACTCGACAGAAGGGCTGGAGGTAGGCGTCTCCTAGAAAGTACAGAAAAAAGAAAAGGAAAAAGGAAACAAAGTGGAAGATAAAATACACACAAGCAACCAATTTCAGAAAGAGAGCACAGAGAAAATAAGGTGGGGACTGTCAAAGAAAGAGACGTAAGGACACTTCCCTGAGTGAGGGCCGGAAGGTTCCAGATCACAAGGTCTCCCAAGCACGCAGCGCTCCCCCCTGCACAGAACAGCGAAACCCTCCAGAGGAGGGCACGCGCAGAGCTCGCGCAAAGCCTTCACATTCCCCAGGGAAGACGGTTCCCACCCTAGCGCCCTGCGCCCAGCCGAGAGAGGAGGAGGAACGAGGTGCTGCCACAAACGCAAAACCTCAAACGACGTGCCTCCCATGCGTCCCTTCTCAGAAAGCCGCTCCCCAGGAGCAAGCCCGGGACGAGGACGCACACCCAGGAGGCAGGCACCCGACAGGGGCGCCAAGACACAGCCGTGCGACAGACCCAAGGGGCACGCGGACCAGGGTGGAGCAGCTGGAGAGCCCAAGACGGGCTCCAGAGGACGAAAGGTCCAATAAATTGTCCACCACGAGCACCACTGTACTTCAACACACGTACAGTGCCGGTGGATGGTGCGAAGAGATGGAAGCCGTCGAAGAATAATAAGGAAAAGAACAAGAGGCAATCACTGACTCCAGAAATACCTGAAAGCTGTGTGAAGGAACATGCCCACAGCACAGACACACCTCGCTGTGGCTGCTCACTTAGGCACCACAACGCACACACGCACATCAATATAAAGGTGGTAGAAAGACGGGAGAAGGCTTAGAGACACATTCACCTTTTCTGTAGCGAAAAATTTAAAAATCCAAAACCAGCAGTATAAGCATGTTACTTGGAAATGTGGAGGGAAACACCAAAAGGAACATTAGCCCAGGCCTGACCCCATGAAAAGGAGGAGATCAAGGATCTGTATGTAACCCTCAGACCAGGTGACAGGGGCACGATTTCCAGACATTGTAAACACACACTGAAGCAGGCTGGAAGGCTGCTGGCAGTCAAGTGGCCCCGACGGCTGCAGGGCACTCGCGCCCACAAGGCATCACCCGTGAGCGTCCTCCCCTCCCGCCTGCGGGCCAGGGACAGCCGTCCTTCCTCAGCCAGGCTAAGGGTCAGTCCAGTGACCAATCTGCTCGGGAAAAACGCCTTATGATTCGGCATTTATAAACCATAAACCATCTCTCTGCTCAACTCTTCACCCCGCAATTAAAACGGAGAAGTGGAAAAGGCCTTAGTTCGCCTCCAGGGAACCGAAAAACCTTATCCCGAATGATGAAGCACAGCCTGACCCACCAAGCGCTCCCAGGGACTGCCGCAGAAGAGCCTTAGCTCCCCCAGGGCGCGGCCACATGCTTGTGACTTGAGGCAACAACCCTACCTTAATTTCATTGTCGTTTGCAAAATTGCCAAAAGAAGCCATAATTTTAGGTACAGCTGCAGCCAAGGTCTCCTGAACAGACTCCTCGGGCCTCTTGCTCGTTCGGGTCAGGCAAGGCAGAAGGTTCACCAAGTAAGGCCTGCACGGGGGACAGGGACACAGGTTACCCTTCCACGGCAACTTTAGTGAGAAACACAAGCAGCTAGCTTAGTACCCGTTAGGGAAAAACAGCTTTTACAGGCAGAAGCGTCCTTGCTGGAAAGAAAACAAATAAAATGTTTAAAAAATACTAACAGTCGCGACACCAGGCCAAGGACCACCCCCCCACCCCCGGCTTCTGCGAAGAAGTGAAGCCAGGCTGGTGGGCCTGGGCGGTGCCCGGGGTGACGGCCCGGGGCGAGGCCTCCCTGGGCCTCGTGAGGAGCCCGGACTGTCCCAGCAGCTCCGGGACTCGAGCAGAGCTTAAATAAGGGAATGGCGTGACCCAGTCACACACTTTAAGGGCACTTCAGCTTCCAGGTGGAGAACCCGGGACGTGCGGCTTCAGAAATACAACCGATTTCTCAAAATAAGGACAATAAAAGAAAAAGGTTACACAGGAAGACATTTCCTTAGTGGCTGTACCCCTATAATCACATAAGATTCCTACTACACTCAGGGTCAGTGAAATAAATCATTTTTCGTATTAAAAGAGGGTTCCTGCCACTCCACCAGCCCCTCAGCAGGTAAAGCCAAGTGTCCAAGGACATCGGAATGTCTTGCTGGTGAAGGACTGAAGGAAGTGGCTGAAAACTGTGGTCCTTCTTTTGTTTTCCAGTCCATTAAGATACAACTTTTTCCATTCAATCAAAACTTCAGTAACAGCTGAACATCCATACTTTTAACCTGTGTAACAGACAAAAGCGTGTTTTTCCATAATTCCTACAATAAGCAACAACGAGCCTGGTGCTCAGCCTTCAACCATTTGACAAGGATCTTTTCAGCAACTACCGCAAGCAGACCCCATTATCAGCGCTGGGCTGCAGCAGGGCCCAGACAGGGAAGACCCCACTGTCTGTAGTCTCTCCAGGGAGGCTGGGCCAGGAAATGACAAGCACGCTGATAAGTGTGCGAGGGTCTCTCTGAGAGCGACAGGTGCTACGGAAGAAAAGTAACAGGACAACCTCGACTATACCTGGACAGAGTAGACAGCGAAAATCTTTAAAGAAATGACATCTGAGCCAAGATGTAAATAACAGCGATAACCCGGGGCGTACAACTCACCTGCATTTCTGAGGGCGAACCAGGTGAGCCAGCTCAGCGAACCTCCACAGGGCAGCGCGCAGGCTCCGAGGGGCTCCATTCTGGCGGATTTAATGAGCGTGTGTTACTTTTAAGAGACACGGACACTAGTCACCAAGAGAACTTCAAACAAACAAACAAAAAAACCTTCTCTTTTCACTGTTCATCTCTATTTTTAAAGAAAAGGCCACTTAAATGTGTAAGTACTTTTGAAATTTTAAAGTCTAATGGGCTGCAATTATAAAGATTTTTTTAAATTACCATTTTCAATTCCCATCTCATCTAATAACTAATGAAGAGTAACCTTTTGAAGAGATTAAGACAATAAAGCCTACTTTACCAAACAGCACTTATTTCCTTCCAAAATTTTTACTTATTAAATAAAAGATAAACTGTCACACATACTGCTCAGTACAGTGAAAACAGCAGCATTCTCTCAGTAATGGAAAACAAAAGCCTACCTTTTTAATTTCCTTGTAGAGTTCTAACTGTAACCTTGGGAGATTAGAATCCATCAAAGCCTGCAACCAAACACAAGAGGTTTGTCCGTGAAGGCGCATTCCATTAGCAGTTCCAAAGAAAGCCAAAAAGCAACCAAAACTTCAATCTGGGGGCAAAGTAGAATATACTGACAACTAAACTGAGAACCTATTCATTAAGAAAGAAGCATATAATTGAAGAAAGTTACCAAACAGACTAAATACGTTCACTTGAATTGTAAAAATGGAAGGAAAAAAATGTAACTTTTATTACAATCAAATACTACATAATATCAAAATTAAACAGTAGTTCAAATTCATTCTCAAGCCCTTATAGTCAATTAAAGCACATTCTGTTGTATGATCCAGCATGAGCAATGCCCTGGAATCTGCGGAGCCGGCAGGGCAGGGACGGACCTCTAGGTTCAGGGCCCCTGGCTCTGGCATGGGGACACAGCTCTCAAAGCAGAATCCCACATCCTCTCCGAAGGTCTGCTCTTCCCCAGACACAAGGGTGTCCCAGGCCCATGGAACCGGCGATGCTCTGAGCCTGCTGGAGCCTTAGGCTCCTCAAAGCACATTTCTTGCCCCTTCTGCTGGCTTACAGGACGAATCAAAAACTGGCTCCACGGCCAACCTCAACCCAGTAAGAATGGCTGATGGTAACCACCACCAGCAGCACAAAGTCCACGTTAGAGACGGCTTCTTAAAACGGAAGGAAAGATTTCTGGGCCCCACTCCCACCCATGGGAACCTCTCTTTTAAAACTGTGTTGCCAATGGCCTGTCCACCAAGAAGAGAGGGAAGACGTGACCAAGCCACCGTCGGAAAGCCCTCTTCCTTTAATGTGATGTTCACAAACCAAGCTGCTCTCGGGAATACTCGAGAAGGCTCAGCAAGCTTGAAAGTCAAAACAGGGTGACGTTTTGGGAGGGTCTGAAGGGTAACGATATCACAGAAATGTTTAAATCTTAATCTGCTGTTTCAGTTTGTGCTAAAATTCCTTAAATAAGCACACCAAAGCGGACACACATATATTAAAACACTACCTTGCCAACAAAACCAGAAGGTATATCAAAGTTTTGTTTCCTTTCATACGTGCTTTATAAACTAATATATCAAGCTTATTTTATTACAAAAGAAAACTAACCCTCAGACCCCTGACAGCAGCACAGGGCAGCGTGATGGTGACAAGCCACCTGGGCCCTCCCTGCTCCCGACCCCATATCCACACCAAGCGGACACGCACAGCGGCCGACTGCAGCCCGTAACAGCCCATCTGCCCCCTCTCACACTCTCACGCCACCGTCCTAGCTCAAGACTGCACTTTCTCTCCCCTGGACTCCTTGGCCTCCCTGATGGGATTCTGGGTGCAAGGGTCTCTCTCCACTCCAAGCCAGGCCACATGTCATCCCCAGGCAACTCTTCCACACGAAGCACTCCTCTGACACATTAAAGATCTTCAAGACATCTTCATGTTCTTCATTCTCTACCAAGTCAAGACAAACCGCCGAACTGACCCTAGTACTTCCCATTCTCTGCAGCACTCACAGGGGTCACCCTCCTCTGAGCCTGCCGCGGTCAGGAAGGTCCTGAGTCCGCTCACTCATCAGCCAGGAAGCCTGCCCTGCCTCCCAGACAGAAATCATCTCCGCCCCTGACCGCCATGAGGAGCTGGCAACTACTTCTCTGACCTTAGGACTTATTCCACGTACTGAGTTACTTCTGTATAAACGCGCTTCCCCACCTGAGACTGTAAGTTATCTGAAGGTAGGTGCACACTGTCAGGCTGAATCAGATCCCCAGTATATTCTCCTATGTAAATGAAAAGCCAAATGTGCCCCATTTTCTTGGCCCACAGAGTCTGGTCCTCACCATAAGCATGTAACAAACTCAAAGGAAAAAACAAAAACAAAAACAGAAGACAGAAGTCCAGGACCTGACTCCTAAGCACCCATTCCTGTGTTCCTGCCCACCCCTGACACAGGGCCTGGGGCCATCCACACTCTCCAGGCTCTCCTGCCTCTGCCAGGGCAAGGGCACATCAAGCCAGACCCTGGTCCCGCTCCCAGCCTGTGGACCCCCGAGACAAGCATGTCTGAGGAAGCAGACATCTGAGCAAAGCCAAACCTCGTTATGCCCAACTTTAGGCAGAAAGAAGAGGTTCAGCGATACAGACCTTGTCTTACGTTCAGGGGCAAAACAGGAGGAGCTGGGACCTCTGCACGAGGGGACTAGAAATAAAGCAGAGGACGTGGGAAAGGCGCAGGGAGATGGCCAGGAGAGAACCAGGACCCAAAGCTACGGCCTAGGGCCATGGCCCACGACCCCAGACACACACGCAAGCCACTCTGCCCAGCAGCTCCTGGAAGCAGGTCTCTCCACAGCAGACGGTCTCCATGCAAAACGACGGCTTTCTGTCAGGGTCATTCTGTTCTCGGCCTTCCTCGTCCGCTCCTACCATGCCCTCTTCAGGTTTCCTGACTCTGAGGATCACAGTTTAAAAACTGAAACATCAGGAAAAGCCTAGCCTGCTCCTGCCAGTGGAAATAATAAAAGCTGCAAAGATATTGAGGCCTGGAGAGAAGCAAGTGTAACTGAGAAAGTCCACCTGCAGTGTGCTGTGGGGCCCAGCACAGGCGAGCATCAGTGCCGACCACCTGGCATGGAGAGAAGGTTAAAGGGCCCCGGCCCCTCTATCCCCGTGGGAGGCGGGAGCCAAGCGGGAGCATGAAGTGCAAGGCCCAGGGGGAGACTCCAAAGAGCACTGCTGTTTTTCAAGAGCCTAACAAAAAGCGAATAGTTAGGCTGGAGCTCTTGGTTCATCTGGCCAAGTATTACAAGGAAGAGAGCCTTCAAGGAAAAGGAAAAGATGTGGTCTTCCTTAAATTTCACAGGAAGAACTCAAGACAGGGGAAAACAGTAAAAACCGGGAAGGCCCAATAAACAAGGATCCCTGCAGAGAAGGTAACAAGGTACATTTTCTCCTCAACAATCATCAAGAAACTGTTTCCGGAGAAAGTGCTGAGAACCATGCTGGAGAAGCTTCCTCGGCGCCGGCCACCCTACAGTGGGGCCACTATCTACTCCTGGACACGAAATTCAAGAGGCTCATTCACAAGCTCAAAGGGGCCCCAGAAGGAGGTGACCAGGATGGCTGGGGACATGAACTACGAGAAGGGCAGAATGAGAAAAAGAACAGTTTCCCAATACATTAAAAATTATGGAAGGATTTTATCTTCAACAGGAGCAGAAAACAGAAAAAGAGAAGGGTGGATTAGAGCTGCGGTGACCTCAAGTACAAACTCCGCATCAGGACAGGGTAAGAGGGGAGGACAGGTGTCCCCACCCCCAGGTGGCTTCGTCAACCCTTTCTGGGAACTCCTACCTCCCACTCAGGTCGGACTACTCCTGCTAAGCTCCTGCAGAGGCACACCTTTACCTGCAAGCGGCACCCCGACCCAGGCCTAGGCAGCCGCAGGAGAGTGACACCACAGGCAGATTCCACGCCCCGCCCCCTGCCTCCTCAGGGCCTTGGGTTTCGCTGCACCACACCCAAACAAAGTGACGCTTTCCCCAACGGCACCCAGCGGGCATCATCAGTGCCCACCCCTGGCCAATGTCCCACGCAGAGTAAGGGCAAACACAGCTCCTCTGGTTCAGTACCGGCAGCAAGCTCACCGCAGATGCCGGAGAGCACCCCAACCACACACCACGACTGAAACCAGAGCAGACGTCCCGAGGGGCCCAGCCCCTCAAAACAAAGGAAGGCTGAATTCCGCTTTCTTCTCTCGGCCTGCAATGGTCACAGCTCGGAGAACGCCATCCACGAGGCTCTTACCTTTATGACCTTGTTGAGGCATTCGTCAGCCACCATCCTGACGTCGGACTCAGCGTCATCGCTGCACAGCAGAAAAAGTTCCATCGCGATGCCCAGGAGTTTCTGAAACTCAGGAGAATTTCTAAGTGAAAAAAGGAGAGGCTGTCACAGACAAAAGGAACCTAAGGAGACATGATGATAGCAGGTAGCGAGGCACCTGGTGTCCTACATAAGACTGTGGAACAGGAGCAGGAAAAGAAAAAGGACAAGACATTCAAAGTCAAGGCTAGAGGCATATGGATATCGATTCATCAACTGCGAAACGTGCCAGAGCAACGTAAGTGCTAATGACCAGGTAACTGCACGTGGGCTTTACGGGGATACTCTATACTATCGCAATTTTCCTGGAGATCTGAGAGTATTCTAAAATATTTTAATTTCTTTAGAGGAAGAGGTTGTACTTGCAAGGCAATCTCGTTTTGTTTTAGTTAAAAAGTCTTAAAAGACACTGCTTTGTGAGTATTTCAACTCAATTTTTACAAAGACATGGCTTCAGATACTTAAAACTCCAGATAGGCATCTGCCCTCTGCCAACAAGTTACTTTTACTTATAATATTCCTGGAATCTGGAAATTCGGTGTAGCAATATAACCCTTTTACTCCTTCTTAATCTTGCTTTCAGTGCACTCCAAAGTGTAACCCCGCATCACTGCGGACTCGACACCATCGTGGTGAGGCTGTTTTGTCTCAGTCTCAGCTGGAACCTGTGCGATGTTAGTAAATGGCTTTTACAAGTTCAACTGAGAGAGACTGTTCAGGGAGCTGTGACCGAACTGGCTCAGCACAGCCGAGGAAGACACACGCTGTGTGCATGGAACTGACTTCGCAGTGCGGTGAAGTGCGGCCAGGCGGTAACACAGCAATCCTGAAAGGGCTGCCGTTCTTGAAACATCCGAACCAGAGCGCAGCTCCATGATCTAACTCGAGTCCTCTGAAAGGGAGGCCTCGCCCTGTAGCCTAAGAGAAAGCGAAGGACCACATCAGCGATGACCAGCACACAAACACGAGCAAGAAACGCGACGGGCCTCCCCGCAACACGTCAGACTCATCTCTGCGGAGCAAGCTCTGGACAAAGAGCCGGGGAGAGGGCCCCAGGGGCCGGCCCAGTGTGCGCAGCTCTCCCAGCGGGGTGCCCGTGCAAGGGGACGGGCGCTCTGTGTGCAATTTCACACTTTCCGAAAGACACAACAGTAAGAGCAGGTAAAATCAGTATTATGCTTCATTTAATCCAGTACGTCCAATATTACTACTACTTCAACATGTAATCAACATGAAGAAATTACTGTGATACACAAGACAACAATCTTTCTTACAGCACATCTCAATTCTGACACAAAATTTTCATCAGAAATATTTTATTTGTACATGGATTTCATAAAATTCACAGTTAAAAAAGGCTCACTTGCAACTAGGAGATAAATAAATTCTGGAGACCCAATGCACAGTTTAGTGATTACAGTCAATAATACTGTGTTTTAAACGTCAAAGTTGCTAAGAGACTAGATCTTAACTGTTCTCAACACAAAAACAGAAACGGTAATGACGCTCCATGATAAAGGTGTCAGCTAACACTGTGGCGAACCCACATCGCACTGTGTAAATACATCCCACCAGCATGTGCACCTCAGACTCATGGTCTTACATGCCAATCATCTTTCACTCTTCAAAAAGGAAAAAGTACGTTTACACACCGTTCCTAACCGTGCTTAAGAGCTCTCTAATCACTACACCGTATATCAATTTTTAAACTTGATTTTAATAAAGGAGATTCAGGGCTACTTAGATTATCTGTTTCCTCTTGAGAGAGCTTTAGAAGTTTGTCTTTCAAGATCCTTGATCAAGAGTGAGTTTACTGGCACAGCTTGTAACTCTGCCTGACAGTCCTGAGTGCCTGTGGCGCCTGGGCTGACACCGTCCCCTCATTCCAGACACCGGGAACCTGTGGCCTCACTCTTTCCTTCCTGATCAGTCTTGCAAATTTTATTGACATTCTCAAAGAACCCCCTTCTGGCTTTACTGGTTGTCTACGTGCTTCTCGGTTTTTAATTCTGACACTTGTTCTTACCATGTCTGTTCTCCTGCTAAATTTGGGCTTCACCTGCTCTTTGAGTTTCCTAAGGTGAAAGCTGCGTTGCTGCCTCATGCCTTTCTTTACCAGGCATTTTGTGCTATAAATGTCCCTTTAACATGCGGCAGCAGCATACCGCAAGCTCTAAAATCTTTAGTTTTTATTTTCAATCAATTCAAAATACTTTCAAATTTCCCTTTGACTTCTCCTCTGGCCCACGGGCCATGTGGAAACGTGTTATTTGTTTTCCACATATTTGGGGCTTTTCCAGACGACCTTTCTGTAATAGATTCCAATTACACTGAGGTCAGAGAACCACTGCATTTCAGTCCTCTTACACCTAGAGAGCCGTCCTACGGCCCAGCGTGCGGTCTTTCTTGGCAAGCGTCCTGGGAGCACCTGGGAAGAATGTCTTCTGCCGTCCTGCATGGAGTCTCCATAAAACGTCAACTAGGACACACACGTGGGTGGTGCTTTTCAAGCCTTCTAGATCCAAATTTTAAGAATTTCTGAGAGCAGCCATTGAAATATCTGCCCGTAACTCTGTCTGTCTACTTTTCCTTGCACTCCGTCAGGCTGTGCTTCGTGCATTTTTGAAGCTCTGTGCGTAAGTCCATCAGCACCTGGGCCAGATGAGGTCCAGCCCACCTGACGAACTGATGCCTCTGTTACTAGGAAATAACCATCCTGGTCCCGGCAGCAGCCTGGGGTTACACACCCACTGCACCTGCAATATAACCAGCCTGGCTTCCATCCGATCAGTGTCAGCGTGCTGAACCTCCTGCCATTCTTTGCTGTGAACCTGTGTGAATTTATATTTAATTTAATGAGTGTCCTGCAGGCGGCATGTCTGGGTCTCGCTTTCCATCCGACCTGACAAGCTTTTACACGTAATGACATCACTGGCATAACCAGGTTTAAGTACACCACTGTGCTGTCTGTCCCACGTGCTCTTTACATGCCTTTCTCTCTCTTCCTGCCTTCTTTGGGGCTGAGTATTGATTGCTATGATTCCATTTTATCTCCTTTTTTAGTTTATTAGCTATAACTTTTGGTTGTGTTTTCAATTGCTGCTTTACAATCTAGACTGCATGTCCCTGATCTGTCACAAGCTGCTCGGTGACAGTATCCCACCTCACACAGAGACAAGAGGCTAACAGCAGCACTGGGACAGGTTTCCTGCAGCTGCTGGAACAAACTACTGGAAACTGAGGTGCTCAAACCACAGAAACCCATCCTCTCAGTTCTGGAGGCCAGATGTCCAAGATGCAGATCACCGAGCTGCAGTCAGGGTTCCAGGGTGCTGTGCTCCCACCGGGATGCTAAGGGAGAACGGCTCCTGTCCTCTTCCAGCTTCCCTGCCAGCCGCTCCTGGCTGCATCACTCTGGTCTTCCAGGCCAGCATCCTGAGCTCTGTCTTTGCTCCATCTTCACAGCACCTCGTCTGTGTGAAAGTCCCCTCTGCCTCCTCGTTGTAAGTATACACATGACTGCATGTAAGGTCCACCTGGACAACCCAGGATAATCTCTCCATCTCAAGATCCTTAACTTAATCACATCTGTAAAGACCCCTTTCCCTTACAAGGTAACGTCCACACAGGCCTCCAGGGATTAGGACCTGTATCTCGGCAAGGAGGGGACATCACTCTGCCAACCACAAATGCACAGCCGGGCCTTGAACGCAGGGGTTAGGAACGTCAACCCTCTGCAAAGTCGAAAATTCACGTATAACTTATAGTTGGTCCCTGGTATCCACCGGTCCCAGTCCAGACTCAATCAACCATGCACTGGGTAGCACTGCAGTATCTTTTGAAGAAAAATCCATGTATAAATGGACCCACTCCGTGTAGTGCAAGGGTCACCTGCGCCTCCACTTCGGCTGTTCCGGCCGCATGCTACTGTGCCATGCATAGTGCTCCTACGTGCAATAAACCCCTAATATAGCTATTTTTGCTGTAAACAATCAACTAAATTTTTAAAAGATTAAAAGTAAGAGGGAAAGCCTCTTATTTACCCACTAGTGTTACCATTTCCGCTGTTGTCAGTCCTCTGTGTAGACCCAGAACGTCCACCTGAAACACTTTACTACTTCCATAGCGGTCGCCTGCTGGACATCAATTACCTCAGCTCTTGCGTGTCTGGAAGAGTCTTTACTCCACCTGTGTTTCTGAGAGAGCTTTTCCACGGCGGACCGAGCTCCGGGGCCTGGCCCTCCCGGCACACTCGCTGCGCAGACCTCCGGCGCCGGCACTCTCGCTTTTGTTCACTTTAGTAGGACTTTCTCATGTCTTGTCCCTATTTAACACATTCACTCCTTTCTCCAGCTTCCTGAACACATGAAATAACAGTTGTGGTCATTGTTTTAACGTTTTTGTGTGCAGATCTTGCCACCCAGGCGATCGCTGGGTCAGCTTCAGCTGCCTTTTCTCACCGCCAATCACGTTTCCCTGCGCCTTCGGCCATTTCTGACTGGATCCCAGACCTTGTAACTTCCATCTTGTTGGGTGTGATATCCTTCTGAATTCCTGTAAACATTCTTGAACTTTGCTCTGGAATGCAACCAGGTTACTCCGGACGAGTATGACCATCTCGGGTGTTACTTCTAAGCTTTACTAGGTAGGGTCAGAATGACATCTGTGTCTCAGGCGACGTCGCCCTGTCACGAAGGCAAACCCCTCTGAGCTCGCTCCGCACCCCGGGAAGGAGAGGCTGTCCACGCCGGCTGCTGTGAACAGGAGCTCTTCCTGCCCTGTGTGAGCCTCAGCACTGGCTCCCTCCCACCCCCTTCAGGTGATTCCACCCCGGCCCTGGCTCAGTGTGTGCAGCACCCCTGGGAAGACCTGAATGAGGGCGCTCGGAGGGCTCCAGGGGCCACTCCTGCAGTCTCTCCTCACTGGTGCCCTCCCCAGCGGGCTCCGGCCACCCTGCCTCCAGAGGCGACCAGCTCTGTCTCCTCCTCTCAGCACCCTTTGGGCTCTCCTGGGTTCCCCTCCTCGCGTCCTGGCTGGAAACTCCCTCCAGGCAATAATCTGGGGAAATACGGCTCACTGCATTAGTCTTCAGTTTTTCCAGAAGAGCCTGATGCCTGATGCCTTGACAACTATTGTTACATAAATTTGATCCATTGTTTTAGGCAGGAAGGTAAATCCTTCTTAGCCAGAAGCAAAAAACTTCCAAGATTTTTTTAACCTAATTTTTAACATCTTATTGGTATCTTTCCTGGTCACAAATATAAATATCTATAAAGCATCCTTCATAAATCATCTTACTTTTTTTTCAGTTCCCCTGTGAATAAGGTGTTAAGACTACTTTTTATTTTCTAACGGGATGAAGCGCACTGCACAGACAGCATCACACCTTCCCAACGACAAGCTCCTGATGGGAAACGGCCAAGTCTGACACAGACAGAGTTTGCCAAACTGCCTTTTAAAAGGTGGTACCACCTCTGACAAAATCCTGAGTATTTTTTAATGCTTGTCAATTTGACAGGTTTAAAAAGTTCGTAGTTTTGTTTTAGTCCCAGCCCACTGGTTACTAGTAAATACTAGCGTTTTCCAAAGGAGGCACAAAGTCAGCGTTAGCCGCCATATTTACTGGCCCAGTCACAGTTCTTCTTTTCCCAATTACCGCCTCGCGGCCTTTGCCTATATTTCCCTACTAGGATGATGGTCTTTTTCTTCATGACTTACAACCACTCTTTTAGAAGCTATTAAGCCTTTGATATACATGCTGTCAATATGCGTATCATATTTCCTCAAGTTGAATTTAGGTACTTTTAAGTTTAAAGTGGATTTTGACATTCTGAACTATACTCCAGATAAAACGTTTTCCTTTTACTGTTAGCATTCCACAGCCTAAGATTAAACGTTCTTTCTGTAGTAATGACTTCATTTTTTTAAATTAGCCTGGCATTTCTGTTTGTTTGCAATATGAAGGAGACACAGTTTTCCTTCACCTAAACAGACGGTTGAGGCAACAGCCCCCCCTTTCCACACCAGCACAGACACTGCTTTTGCCACAAACTCACACACACACACTTTCCCGCTTCCTACTCTGCATCTTCTCTGACGCCTGCTTTTAACGCCACGTATACTGGGTCTCACCATATGACTAACGGTTTCAGATTTTCTTTGCAACATTTATGTATTTACTCTTGCAGACAAGTAAGTTGCATAATACCCCTACTAGAATTCTGATCAATCATTTTAAATTTATGGATTAATTTAGCCAGAATTCAACTTTATGATAAAGAAGTCTAGAGGGAAGTAGTGTGGTGGCGCACAGAGATCTGTCACTGTCACTTCATTGTCTTCCTACAACATTTCTACAAATTAGATAGAAACAAAAATCACCCACGGTATCTCACAAAAGGAATGAGTTCATCTAAAACGAAGTATTCTGAAATCACTTTGAAAGTATAAAATACAAAAGCAAGGTGCCATCAAAAATAAGTGAATCACCAAGTTTCTGCCAGTACTAAAATCAAGATTACTATTCTGAGAAAAGAAATGTTCACATACCGAGGTCTGGGGAGGTCATTCTGGCCTATATACAAGTCAACTTGAATTTGGTGCTGACTATAGCAGCCTGTCTGTGGCCTCTCAGACATACGCTGTACGTCTGCTTTCATCATTAAAGAAAAGGGCACACTGACCAGAAGTAAAGAATGTCCGTGTTAAAAATAAAGACTAAATGCCTCCCGTCCTGGGACGGACCCTGCTGGTCCTCCTCTGATGACAAGACTCTCTCTACAGGCGCCAAAGCCCTTCTGTACGTGCGGATCTGTTTGTTTGTTTGTTTTGCAACCTTGAAGGAATGTATCCCTGACTTGTTTGATGTTCCTTGTTCTGATAAGATACAAAACTGTGCTGAAAACCCTGCTTTCCCGCAGCAGTTTCTCAGAGTGATCTGAGAGGCTGTCTTCCGGGCTATCGTCCTCAGTTTGGCTCAGATAAAAGTTTTTTCTATTCCTATTACCGATTATTTATTGATTATTTTCATCGACAATTCTCAGAGCTTCTTCTAGCAGGTTACAGAGAGCTCTTTCCAGCTTCCAGCAGAAAAATAACATGAATGATTTATTCCAAAGGAAAGAAAAACCAAGGGAGAAGTATTTCACACATGCCCATCTGAGTAACAGAATTCAGAAATCATAGGAACATCTGTCTCCTATTCGGCCTTTAGAAACAGGACTGAATATCGACCGTCAACAGCCACCAGAAACAACAGGCAGAAGACAGAGAGTCAAAAGCGAAGAGAGTAAACAGAGCTAGCAAAGAAGCCACACCAGAGGTGCTGCCGGGTCACCCCAAGTAAGGCCCAGCCGGGAGGCCGGCCTCATCAACTGCCCGAGATCACCCCCGGAGAAAGGCCCAGCTGGGAGGCCGGCCCCCAGTCAACTGCCCGCGACGCCCAGAGGCACGAGGAGCAGGCAGAAGCCACGCTGGGGGCGCGAGCACCCCGGCAGAGACAGAAGCAGCCGAGTGCCAAACGAAAGCCAACGGAAGACCACGATGACTGGACAGGCTCCTGGACAGGCCCGCACTGTTCCAAACCCTGCAATAATGTACAAATATCAAATAAAAGGTGACGTGTAAATGATTTCAACTACCAGGAGTGCTAATTAAACATAATGGTCACAATTATTCTGTGTAAGATTCCACAAAGGAAACATTCCTCATCCCAGTGTCTGGATATCCTTGACACATACAGCCAGAAGTATGGGGAAGGGAGACGAAGAATACTGCCCACTAAGAATGAAGATACACAAGGGTTTTATTTTCACTGTAAAGTGAAAAGTGCAGTTACCTGAGCGACTGCGCCACTATGTTTTCACATATGGTCAGACAGTGATTCACACGGTCTTTCTTGGTGGCTGAGAGTTCTTTCTTTCTGAAAGGAAAAAAGGAGGAAGCGAAGTGAGCCAGTGTTGAGCTACTCACTCCATTAATTTTTATGGGGCATTCACTATTCGGTAGCATCTCTTGACTCCCAGCAGTAAACCGCGCACGCCGTGTGGGGGCAGGGCAGGGGTGAGGCCAAGGAAGCAGGGAGGAGCTTGGCCCAGGGTTCCCACACAGCAAGGCTCTGCAGAAACGTCAAGGGATGTTGCTAAGGCACCTGGTTCTGCACGTTAGAAAGAAGGAGAAACTGCAGTGCAAACAGTGCTCGTCCAAGATGACGCGGACGAGGGCGCGTGTGACTCAATGAGGCACAATCCTACCACACCTACCGTATGTGCCAAGCTGCATCCTCTCCCCAGATCCCATTAACTGACAGCAGTCAGCACACCACACGGACCTCACACGATTAGGTATAAAATACTGTCTGACAACAGCTAATTGCTTCCATACCCCCAAACAGCAAGCAATAGGCCCCATGCTCAGAGCCTTTCTCAAAAGCCTCCTAGCAAGACTTCTTAGCCAAATGACAGAAGATAAACAGCCTGATTAGGAAGATGAGGGAGGTGGGGATGAGCCCAATCCAGGGTTTCCTATACAACACGGCTCCATAGAAAAGACAGGGCATGGCCTCAGACTACTGCAAAGCTACAGTAATCAAAACAGCATGGTGTTGGCACAAAGCAGACACACAGACCAATGGAACAGCACAGTAAGTCCAGAAATAAACCCACGCACTTATTGTCAATTAATCTATGACAAAGAAGGCAAGAATACACAATGGAGAAAAGACAGTCTCTGCAATAAGCGGTGCTGGGAAAGGTGGACAGCTACCTGTGAAAGAATGAAATTAGAACATTCTCTAACACCATATCCACACATAAACGCAAAAGGGATTAAAGACCTAAACGTAAGACCAGATAGCATAAAACTCCTGGAGGAAAACGTAAGCAGGACACTCTGACATAAATTTCAGTCCGTCTCCTACAGTAATGGAAACAAAAGCAAAATAAACAAATAGGACCTAATTGAACTTAGAAGCTTTAGCACAGCAAAGGAAACCATAAACAAAATGAAAAGACAACCTACAGGACGGGAGAAAATATTTGCAAACAATGTGACTGACAAAGGATTCATTCCCAAAATATACCATCAGCTCATACAGCTCAATATCAAAAAAACAAACAAGCCAACCAAAAAATGGGCAGAAGACCTAGACATTTCTCCATAGAAGACATGCAGATGGACAACAGGTACATGACAAGACCCTCAACATCACTAATTACTAGAGAGATGTAAATCAAAACTACAGTGAGGTACCACCTCACATCGGTCAGAACGGCCATCACCAAAAAGTCCATAAATACACCAGAAATTGACACAACATTGTAAACCGGCTGTACTTCAATTTAAAAAAAATTTTTTTTTAAGTCTACAAATAGTAAATGCTGGAGAGGGTGTGGAGAAAAGGGAACCCTCCTACACTGTTGATGGGAATGTAAACAGGTACAGCCACTATGGAAACCAGTATGGAAGTTCTTTCAAAAACTAAAAATAGACTTACGATATGATCCAGCAATCCTACTCCTGGGCATATATCCGAAAAAGAAAAAACTCTAATTCAAAAGGATGCATATACCCCAATGTTCACAGCAGCACTATTTACAATAGCCAAGAACATGGAAGCAACCTAAATGTCTATGAACAGATGACTGGATAAAGAAGATGTGGTGTATGTACACAGTGGAATACTACTCAGCCATAAAAAAGAATGAAATAATGACATTTGCAGCAAAATGGATGGACCTCAAGATGATCATACTAAGTGAAGTCAGACAGAGAAAGACAAATATCATATTATATCATTTACTTGTGGAATCTAAAAATGATACAAATGAACTTATCTACAAAACAGAAACAGACTCACAGACATAGAAAACAAACTTATGGTTACCAAAAGGGAAGGGGAGGAAGGGGGGGAGGGGGAGAAATTTGGTAGTTAGGTAGTTAAGAGGATACATACCACTATATAATAGATAAACAACAAGGACCTACCGTACTAGCACAGGGAACGTATATTCTAGTATCTTGTAATAACCTAATAAAGGAAAAGAAACCTAGAAAAGAATATATATATATATATATATATATATACATATACACACACACAGACACACATAAAACTGAATCACTTTGCTGTACGCCAGAAACATTGTAAATCAACTATATTTCAATTAAAAAAAAATCCTGCTTAATAAAAACAAGGCAGGAGATGTTAAAGCTGCCCACACCCACAGCTCCAGACGCCTTCAAGGCGCCACAGAAACAAGGGAGAAAGGGACAATCCAAAGAGGAAGCCAAAAATAAAGCAGACTTAAGAACTGCATCCAGAAAAGAATTTGAGTGTGAAAGTTACCAGTGTGTTGTACTAACTAGAAACATGGAAACCAGAAGACTGTTTAAGTTTTTGAGAGCATTCTATTACCTAAGGGGGGAAAGAAAACTAACGTACAAACGCCAGTGACTATTTAATTTATCCCTAATGCTACCTTCAGGCTCCAAAAAGTACATCTGAAGAAACAGGCTCTTACAACTGTGCAAATCCAATGAAGACATACCCTCCCAAAAGGCACCTCAGATGTGTCCGGGGAAGAAAGCAGACAAGGAAGAGCCTCCAAGGGGTAAGGTCAGGGGCCCAAGGGAAGGACAAGTGGGGCCTGAATGAGAGCTGCTTGCAGGAGGGCGCCTGACGACTGCCCAGTAGAAGTTCACCCCGTGAGGACTGGTGGCTGCGTGTTTCCCACTTTCCTGAGAGAGACTTATCCTGAGAAGCCACACTGAAGACTGCTAGTCATCGTCAAAATGCCAGGCTTCCCTCTCTCGACACGTGGCTCCAGCTGGAATTTCCACTGCCGAGCCTCCCTGCAGCCAGGGACAGACACGTGACTCCGTTCTCAGAGGAAGTGGGATCGGAAGTAGCAGAAGGAGCTTCCGCCTGGCTGGCCTGCCCCGGGCGTCTCCCCTTTCAGTTCCCTCCAATTGGAACAAACAGTCCTAACACTCAAGTTTCTGATTCTACAGATAAAGACAATAGAAGGCTGCAGAGCAACAGGACGGAAGGAACCTGGACCCCAAGTGACCCCCACCTGCCCCCTGAGTTACCCACTTCAAAAGCGCTATGAAACACCCAAACATCCCGCACCCGGTGGGTGGACAAACCACCACAGCCAAACAGTGGAACACTGCCCGGCAGTGAAAAGCAGCAAACCATCGACGCACACACGGACGGACCTCAGCGCACAGCTGCAAGGCTGCACGCAGTTCCGGTCACCCCACGTCCTGCAGGGGCGCAAAGTGGTCAGCCATTTCCAGGGCCAGGCTGGGGCCAGGGGAGCCTGACAGCAAAGGGGCATGGGGTGGGGGGGAAGCCTCTGGAGGTGATGGAGCTGTTCTGAATCTTGAGTGTGGCAGGAGTTACACAGCTTTACGCATCTGTCAAAACTTAGCTCTGTACACCAACAAGGGCACATTTCATTATGTATAAGTTACACCTCAATTTAAAGGAGGAAGGAGAAAGTGCTGTGCGAATTTAAATACTCTCTTCTTTGAACCGCCACATTAAGGAGTTTCCATTACAGCAGCTTAGAGTTTACCTAATTTAAGACAGCCATTGAGAAAATTAAAGAACACTGACCACTTTAAGCATTTTAGGAAGCAAACCAACTCACTTACCCAATACCCTTTGATTTCCAAAATGAAAATCTGCCAAGGCCTTAAGTGAACTGAATTCAAACACCCAGACTTCTAGCTACGTAGACAGTGGCCCCTCCACAGGCAGCCTCTCACACTGGGCTCTACACCGATTCCTAGGGGAGAGGTGATCAGAAAAAGGTTGACAAACACTCAACTAAGTGGACCTCACAACTTAATGGTGGTTGGAGTAGAAGCATTCACAACCTCAGATTCTCAGCACTCAGAATCTAAGCAGAACCTCCACCTCCCAACCCGAAAGGTGGTGGGCGTGTGATTCACGGCAAGTGCCTGCACCTAAGTCTGCATTTTTCAACTGTGACTGAAGGGGCTCAGCTGTATGAGTGGCACCCAGGGGTCTCTGAGGAGCCAGTCCTGACCAGTTGGTCATGGCCACCCAGGGCACAGCCTGGAGAGGGCTTTGAGGCCTCACCTGCACTCGGAAGACAGACTGCTGTGCTGAGTGCCGGGGGCTGCCACGGGCCGGAGAGGGAGGGACGCCCAAGGACCCCTCAGGCTGCATTATCGCTGCAGGTACGAAGCACAAAATGCTGCCTGGACTTGGTAAGACAGCGCCACGCACTGACACAAGCAGAATGTCAACATGCCAACCATTTCCGTGGTTATAGATGACCATGTAGGGTTTCCAGGTGTAGATTTCCCAGTAGAGCCACCAGGGCACCAAAAAAGGGTAAAAGTTAATGGCTTCACACAAGTTACCCATGTGCCTGATGGAGAACCGGCTAGGCCCACGGAACACTCATCTATCTTTTTAGAAGTGAGAAATACAAACGTGAGTTTTAAAAAGAACTGTCTCTCTCCTCAGGTGTGGAGTAAAAGAAAGGAATACAGTTAACAATGACAATGACAATGACAACACAGCTCTCTAGACCTGCTGCCTCATTTCATTAAGACCTGCATGTGCTGTTCCCCATGCCAGGACTTGAGCGGAAGTTCATGAACTAGCAAAAAGTCAAAGACAGAAACACTGATCTCACCCAGTAAAATAAAAACACCTTCCGTTGTCTGCTTGGGTCCAGCTCCTCCTCTGTGCTCCTGGCGGGGGAAAGCCTGCCTTATTCACCCAGGACACTACCCAGGGCCCCGCTCGCCCCAACCACACTCTTTGGTAGAAACTGCTCCTGTAATTACCTTCTGAGGGGTGATGGACAAACAGGAAGGACCGTACGGTGTCTCTACCACCAGCACTCAGCACATCTACACTGGACAGGTGTTTCGTGGACCGATAACAAAGGAATGGATAAATAAGTGTTTTCTCTAGGAGAGCAGGTTAAATACACATTAACACTGACTCAAAAGTTCTTTTTTTTTTTAAATGGCAGTAC